GGTTGTAGTATTATTTATCCTTCTTCTTTACTTGCCCCTCTTACTGGTATTATTATAATGACGATTATCATTATTCTGTTGCTTTGCATGTATACTGAGAACTTCTGCACCAGAGACAAATTCCTTGTGTGTCTAATTACACAATCAAATTGTCCAAATAATGTATTCAATTCAATTGCATGTTTGGAAAGTTATCCTGATGGATAGGTAGAGTTCTGAGCTCCTTTATATAATTTATTAAAATTAGAATACTAAAAAACATGGAGCAACACTTTGTAAACAGAAAAATATTAAGTTAATATCCTGCTGAGTTCTGGTTTTTTTCCTCAACTGCAACCAAATAACCCTGCATGGGTAGTCAAGTTTATTAAAGGAAAAATTATTTTTAGCTATTAGTTTTCCTACTGTGTTATATAGGGAAATCTGAAAAGCAATTTTGCTGTATATGGTAAAAGCAACAAACTAAGCTTTCATTAGGACATTCACAAACAAGAATAGCATTCTCTGATTGTCCGAAGGGAGATCACAACCTTCTCCCAATCAGGAAGCATGGTAGAAATCTGATAAGATAATGTTTGTTTCATGTAAACACTACAATATCTAAGGTCAGCTTACACAAACATGAAGCTTCTAATATATTGCAATTGAAACTAGGAAAAGCACATTAAACTTTTGAACTGTTTCAGGCTAGTTGCCCAAGAAAAACTATTAAACAAATGTTGCAGTCCAAAAGTAGCTCCAGTCTCACTTTGGATACCATATATTTCCATGATCTTCCCATGTGTTTGGTAAGATGCTTTTCTGAGCAGCTTTCACTGAGAAAAAATATGAAGGAAAATGTTATGCTACTGATCTCATTAAGCTTTCCTCTAAGCTTTGTATGGTACCATGATGACTGAAAAAATGAAAAACTAGAAAGGTTTTAAGAGCTGTGGCCTAGCCCTAATCCCAGTCCAATATTTTTCCAATGCCACAGAGTTTGCAATGCATTCTAAACAGAAATTCTTCTGGCTAACTAGCTAGCAGTTGCTCAAGTGTGTAGCAATTTAACCACACACTGCTGAGAAGGCAATGACAACCAAAACATAATTGATGGTGGTATTATTTCTGGATCCTAGGAATTTACAATATCTATTCACTGGCATCCAAATAAAGTTTTACAGAAGCTCAATACCATGTCACTGACATTAGTTATTTTCCTACTAGTGACTGTTAGAGTTATCCCACCATTGTTGTTTCAAAATAACAGTAATGAGGAGTGGCTTTATTTTACTTCAAGAATGACTGGTTGGTACTATTAAGACACTTTTGTCATTGATGGAAAAATGGTCATTATTCCCGAGCTTCTAGCTGTGAAAGTTCTTGAATGACAAATTAAACCTAATAATGGCAATTCTCTTCCCTCCTGGTGCTTTTTTAAAATGTGTTTCTTCCCCAATCATCTTTAAAAACAAAGAGTAGCAATTTGATCTGAAGAACAAAAGTATAATGATGAGAAGTGTGCCAAATCCTCCTTGGATTTATCAGTCACAATTTTCTCCTGAAGTTCTTTTTCCACAGCTAATTTTACTTGCAATATTAAAAGTGAATTGCAGTTCACGTACAATATTCTTGACCTCCGAGACTACAAGCAGGCTATTTTTATTGAGATTTTGCTTTGTTTTGTTCTTCAGTAAGAATCATGAGCTTTTAAGTTCTTACAAGGTTTGGAATGTGGAAATGGATTGCCACAATCTCTCTCCAGCTTCGCTAAGTGGCAGAATATTCACAGAGAATAATACATGTCAAAGAAAGGCATGCTGCATTATTGTATTAAGCACTACCTGAAACAATACTAAAAAAAAGTCATTTTTGAGTCTAGTTTTATGACCAAGGAGCTCAAATGTATCAACGTTCAATTCTTGCTATCTGGAATCAGGAGCAATTATTTTGAAGTGAATTGAATGTCATATGACATTTTTTGTTTCATTTACAAATGGTTTTTGTTTTTTAATTTAAAGACTAGAAATATCTGCAAAGAATATCTGTGAACAAATATTATAATTGAATGAGTAGACATATAAATGGGACTCAATTTGATCATCATCAAAGACAAACTGTTGTCTGACTACAATCCTATGAATATATAGGGCAGAACAGTAAAATGGCATCTTGTAGAATTTCTAATTCTCATCACCATCTTGCCCAGTATCCAAGAACATTGATGGAGGAATGGGGGAAGGAACTAATGGGGGAAGGAACTAAATGCCAGTTATGACATCATAATGCAAACTCTGTCTCTTACATATTTATATGCAACACTGTGTGTCACAAGTAAGAAAGGGGAAAAGCTTGCATTAGGACTAACAATGCACATTTTGTCATTCTGATGTTATTATGGTAAGGAATGGATAAGGTCAAAGTGCTGTTTTTTTCCAGTATGGTATTGATTGATATATTAATGCGTTATAAATGAGAAATAATAAGCACATATTACATAAAAGAATGTTAAGCGATTTGTCTCTCCAAGATAACATTTCTCTGATGCAGTCAAAAGAAACCTGTCAGTTGGATTTTTTAAGTTTCATCTATTATATTGTTAAGTCTGGGAAGAACGATTTGTTCAGAACAATAGTATATTGTCAAGGATTTTAAAATCCCACTAGACATAAAGTATTATTTGCCATTTCCCATAAATGAGCCTCAATCTGTGCCCTTAAACCAATGTATGGTGAGAAAGGCACAAAAACAGCTGCAAAGTTTTACGCAGTATTAATTTTGAAAGGAGATGGGAGGGGAAGAGATAGAAATGACACAAGTAAGCATTTATGAAGCTGACCAGCTGTGAAAACAAGAAGGAACATGCTGTGTCAAAATGGTATTCCTTCACAATAGAAGAAAAATTCAATACTTATCCCTCACTCACTCCTTTTGGATTTGTGAAAGCGTTGTTTGCATTTTTTTTTTTTTTTTTAAAAAGCAGAACTGGCTGTCTGCAGTTAGTGCCAACCTGAGAAGAGACACTGCTGCATTAAGAGTAATATTAAAGATACGCTGCTGCAATGATTCAACTCTTTAAAAGAGGGACATTGCCTGAAAGCCTAGGAAAAAAAGATGCAGCTGCTTTAATAATCAGTTGAGAGCTGCTGCACTTGTGTGAGTCGGTTCATTAAAATAAGTCCTAAGGCCTTGAATGCATTGAAGAGGTTCTTATATAGTTAAAACAACAATTCCACATACTCATTCCTGTGAGTGGGGTGGCTAATTATTCACATTAAAAAAAATTGAATCTGATTTTTTTCTTTGAGTAACAGTGAAGCAATCAGGTGGACTCAGAGACTGGCTACAGTCTTTTCCATCTAAGCTAGGGCAATCTTCCCTTTTCTCTTTTCTGGATATAAAAAGAGCCGTGGTTTAAGTGAGAAATTGCATGTCTCTCTCCTATTTGGTCAGCTGCCTCTTCTACTTGCAAAGGTTCTCTTTGCTCTCTGCAAGAGGGTTAGGAGAGGGATCCTTCTCTGTGGAGGAGAAGGATAGAGACTGAACCTGCTTCTCTCCCTTCCTCTATGCCTCATCCTATGAGGTTTTTTCAGTCAAGGGCAACAAAATGAGATTTCTGTCTCTTCCTGTTTCTCCTGGAGTGATGGTGGAGTCAAAGACAGAGGGTCACAACAGTGGTGGGATTCAAAATTTTTTACTTCTGGTTCTGTGGGCGTGGTTTGGTGGGCATGGCCAGGGCTGTGTGACAGGCAGCACTTGGCCTCCTGCACCCCCCCGGGAGCAAAAATGGGCCGTGGGGGGAACACGCCCCGTTTTGGGCCTAGGAGGCCTCCCTGAAGCCTCCTGGGAGCGAAAATGACACGTGTGGGGACTCCTGGAAGGGGCGGGCTGGAAGGGGTGGGCCCAGCTAGCAAGTTAACTACTGGTTCGCCCGAACCCACCTGAACCGGCTGAATTCTCACAACCCCCCTAGAAACTCATAGCTTTCTCTGAGGGACTCATGAGAGGTCTTTGGGAGAGGATATTACCTGTCACCTAGTTCAGTGTTTCAAGTACTTCTGTTTCTTTAGTGAAGGATAGTCGATTAAGGCACCTGGCAGCATTACCAACATCCAACTTCTGTGGTATCTGGGCCATCCAACTCCCTCAAGGAAGAGTAGTAAATCTTCTGACAGTTATGAGAGGCATGACTCTTGTGTTAATGTGTCTTCCTGGGGGAGGTGGGGGTTGCACATTGCTGGAAATCAAAACCTGTTGGAATGATCCTCCAAGGTATCCCCTGACGGTGATTGGCTGGCCATTTTAACAAGGAAATTAAAGGTAAAGGTAAAGGTTCCCCTCACACATATGTGCTAATCGTTCCTGACTCTAGGAGGTGGTGCTCATCTCCGTTTCAAAGTCGAAGAGCCAATGCTGTCCGAAGACTTCTCCATAGTCATGTGGCCGGCATGACTAAACACCAAAGGCGCATGAAACGCTGTTACCTTCCCATTAAAGGTGGTCCCTATTTTTCTACTTGCATTTTTTATGAGCTTTCAAACTGCTAGGTTGGCAGAAGCTGGGACAAGTAACGGGACCTCACCCAAGAAATTAAATAGAATTAAATAGGAAATTAAATAGAATTAAATAGGAAATTAAATAGAATTAAATAGGAAATTAAATAGAATTAAATAGGAAATTAAATAGAATTAAATAGGAAATTAAATAGGAAGCAAAACAAATGAAGTACCAAAAGGTGAAGATCTGTGACTGAGTCAGTCAGTTTTGGCATTGTTGATGAATGGTTATGCTTTATGGAAGGACTGGCATGGGGAAAGGAACTGCCCACCTCTCCCAGGAACTGATGCCAGGTTCTTTTCCAGTTGTGCCCTGAAGTGAGTATAAGGGATACTCACTTCAGAGTACTATTAAAAGAACTTGGAGAACCACTGAAGCCAAAATAAACAATGCTCTACGCTACAAGGAGAAAGAGTTTGATCTAGAAGAATCAACTTTCCAGGGAGCAATCAAAGTTTACTTACCTATTCTAGTAGGAAAGATGTTCTCATTATTAATTAGTGTCTCAATCCAGTCCATCAGCATGCACATGTAATGAGGTGCTGAAAGCTTGGTAGGTCTCTTGAATCGATAATCATCCTGCCATCGATATTCATACTTCAGACCACCAGACATAATAGGGCAGCTCTTCTCAGTGCAAAACTCAGATATGGTCCCATAAATGAGATTTATCCTGTTGAAGAAGTCCACGAGGTGCACTGCAATCCAGTCATTGATGTTCTCTCCTGGGGGCAACTGGACCACTGTCTTTAAGTCTAGTCCTGATTTGAGGGAAGCCTGGGCTTTCTTGTACAGCTCAAACCGTTGTGTGCCCGGCTCAAATTTCTTACGAGGGCGAAATGTTTTGTCTTTGTTAAAAACTTGCTTAAGGCACAGAGCCATTCTGATTTAGGATTAGCCAGGGTGGCAGTGATATATTTCAAAGGAAAAACTTTCAGGTAGAAAAAAAAGTAATTTTTGAAAAATAAATATATAGAGTTTTAATAGCCAATTCTTCTTCAATCTTTTTAAGAGTTCTTCTTATTAACTTAACTGTCCAGCAGAGGGAACAAACATCAGCAACATTTAAAGTGAAGTGTAGTATCCGTGCATATATTTAACAGGCAACGGAACTTTTTTCTTACTTCTTTCCTGGTTTTCATCAATGTGGAGAAAATGGTAGGCAACACTGGTCTAACCTGAAACGAAACCCAAAAAAGTAACTAAGAAAGAAGGATTTGGTATGATAACTTGTGAAAAGCAATGGACATGTACCTAAGAACATTTTTAAAAAGACCACTGTATTAGACTACAGGACAATTCTATCAAATATTTTGTTGCCATGCTGGCCAAGAAAATGCCTGGAGAAGCACATCTGTATTAATATCCACCAGAAAACCTCTTTACTTATACGGGATCGAGATTCGGGGGGAAAAAAATCACAGAAGAAAGTAGTGACAAAACAAGTCCATGATGTTCCCTAGAAAAATCTGGATGTGTTCATAATTCACCAGGAGCCAAGCTTAGTGTGAAGACTGACCATATTCTTCTATTCATGTTTCCCAGAAAACTAAGCCTACAAGCTTCTGTTACTGGAACTTCATAGGTAAATCGTGTTGTGTGAAGAATATGAATGGTTGCATTGTTTCAGTGAAGCCTACTTTTTCAAACACCTCCACAAAACCACTTCTGGCAAGGTAGACTGAAGTTGATGAAGATAGAGAGCCAAGTGCTCCAATGGAACATTTAGCTGGCTCCCATTGCTTTATTTCAGTGGAAATGTGAGCTCGGTGGAAGCATGGCCCCAAGAAGCACTTTGATGAAGCCCCAATTAAAACACTTCTCCTGCTCCTTTTAGTTGTTTTCCACAGTCCCCAGAATTGCTCAAGGGAACCAAAGAGTCCCTTTCCCGCCTCTCCACTCCCAATAGCAAAGCAATTTGTTCATTGCATCTCATCATTACTCTAAAGATGAGAACAAAATGAAAACAGAAAACAGAATGTATCTATTCAGCATTGCACAGAAGCTGTTTTAAAACAGAAGGTCAGATCAAAGTAGAACTCAAGGCATTTCTAAAAATAAGTCTACATTTCTGGTGGGAAGCAGAGAGGTTTCCTCAACAGCTGTAGTACCTTTAACCCAAGAAGAAAACATTTTTGTTGCTTTGTCACTGGTTTGGCCATTCCCTTGACATCTCCTGGGAATGCAGATGTTTGGCAGTTCACATACTTTTGTGACTCAAATCACATTTACAAGCCTCTTGGGCTTCCAGCTGTAATTCAGCAATGTCTCTATGGAGAAAAGCAGTATATATTTAACTATCAGTCTTAAGCACAAGTGCCAAGCACTGATCTTTCCCAAATGCCATTTTGTTTAAATGAACAGGGAGTTAAAAGAGGAAGATGTGATGCATTTGGAACAAAAAATCTACATCCAAATTGTGAGAGCACTGCAAAATATCTGTCTACTTCACTTTTCAGCTTTTTGGTTAAGATCAAGGGTGGCATTTACATATATCAATACTACAGATCAATCTACAAAATCTCCTCTGCATAACAACGACAGCTACTGACTGGATCTCCAAACTCGACATTAAACTCTGAAATGCTATTTCTGTTTTCCTCTTAGGTTTTCTTACTGCTTTTTTAAAATTGTTTTAATTGTTTTAACCTGTAAAAATGAAGTGTTTTAATATTGTGTGTGACCAGCCATACGCTAAATAAATAAATAAAATCTACAAAAGATGCCATCTTATGTGTGTGTGTATCCTTTTCCTCTTTAGACATGAACCTACCAGTCTCAGCAGGTGGAACATCTATACAACCTTGGCTAATCCAGAAAGCTAAGCAAGGTTGGCTTTGGTTACTCTATGGAATCTAGGAAGTCCAGGACTGTAGGCTAATATGACAAGATAATGACCAACCACTTCCATGTTGGGTACCTCATCCACCAAATAGCTTCTTTCATGATACAGAATAAAAGACGGGTCAGCTGGTCTTATGCTTTCCTTCTTTATTCTGCAACTGTTAGATACATAAAAGGTCGAAAACGAAATAGCCAAAGTCTATTATCCATGCTAATAATCTATAATATTGTTTCCAGTTGCACTGGAAAATTATGCCCCTCTAGATATATAGATATTGAGATTGTAGATTGTTATTAAGTTCCCTGGTTTTTTAACCCCTTGCTTCTTGTTCATCTCTCTGCCTGTGTGTGTGTGTGTGTGTTTGATTTTGCCTGTCTTTTGTCCCATTAACTGTCTTTGATCTTTGCTGACATTTGATAAATAAACATCAAGCTACATTTTTGATAGCTGTACTGAGAGGCATGTGTGTTTGCTCTGATCTGAAAAGGATACAGGAATTGTCTGGGATTGTGGTGGGGCAAACCTAACTGGAAATTATTCATGGGTGTATCCATGAAAATCACTAGGAGTCACATTCAAGTTGAAAAAGATTTTCCTTTTTATATATGAAACCAATTCGCCTCTCAGTTGTTAGTTATTGTTGTGCCATTCTTCCTCCCAGGAAGCCTGACAGCTGCAATGGGATTCTTTTCTACTGCATATATTTATTTGGTTTGAAGTCTTGAAAGTGTTACATTCTTTGAAATCACAGTGGAAAAGGTCTGGTCCCAAGTGATTAGCAAAAACTACTGCTAACACAAATTGCTGATACAAAGTGAAATAAATCACTAGCCCTCCTGAAATATAGAACAATCTGCTCTAATCTGTCCAAGGGCAGATGATATTATTAGCATTAGCTTTTGACAGAATTAAGGCTGAGAACAATTTGGTCATTATACCATTTTATCATACTAAAATTAAAAATTTGATATATATGTTTTATTTTTATATATTATCTAACAAGTGGCTTTATTAACATGATTGTAATTTCTTTGATTGTTGTAAGTTGCCCAGAGTCATTGAGAGTCGGATGGAATACAGCTTTAATAAGTTATTAATTTTATTAAACTGAGTTCCAATATAGGTAGACCTCGACTTGTGACCACAACGGAGATCAACTTTTCTACTGCTATGTAGTTGGTGAGTTGTGATGAGTTGTGCCTTGTTTCACAACCTTTCTTGCCACAGTTGTTAAGCGATTCACTGCAGTTCTTAAATTAGTAATCTTGTTATTAAGTGAATCTGGTTTCCTCGTTGACTTTGCTTGTCAGAAGGGCATAAAAGGTGATTACATGACCCCAGGACACTGCAACTGTCACAAATATGAGTCAGTTGCTAAGTGCCTGAAAAAGTCCTCTTTTTCAGTGATGTTGTAATCGGAACAGTTACTAAAAAATAGTCATAAATTGAGGACTATGTGTATAGTTTCAGGAGTTGGCAGATTAGACAGACATTAGAAACATAGAGAAATTATCCAACTCCTGAATCTATATTGCAATTCAATTCACCACATCATACAGCAAATATATTACATTGCTGCTTCTCACTATCAACATGAGGAAGCAAGGGAGGAAGTGGTATTTTTCTGCTGAATCTGACATTTCTGCATGTTAGAGCAAAGTTTTATTATTTGGTTATTTCCTGTTAGGGAGGTTGCTTCATTATTATATCCTTCATTTAAATAGACTTCCCGGGGGGGGGGGAGTTTCTGAACATTTAGGCTACAAGCTACGCATAAAACTAGTAGGAAACACTTCCACTGTGCTTAGGACTATATCAGGCAGCTTATTTTTAGAATATCTCAATGATCAGTCTCTGAAAGGATCTTCAACGCAGATGCAAATAACAGAATTTATAAACAGCCATTAAATCAGCATTTAAATGAAAACACTGTAATTAAGTAATTAAAAGGAATCAAAAATAAAGAGGAAAACACCTACTGGCAGAAATTACCAGAATGATATCAAAATCGTGGGCACACTTCATGGTGTCCCTGGAAATAATCACCATTGGCAATTCTGCTGGTGACAAGTTGCTTATACGTGACAGCCAGTGAGTGAACTCGTGATTCCATTACCCTTTAGGCACGGAACAAATTCAAGACAATACATATACACACCCATTGTGCAAGTAAGTACAGAAAGATAAAATTTCAACAACAACAGAGCGGGGAGGAAGAGGGTAGGTGGCAAAGCCACAGTTCAACCCAGGGTCTCCTCCACTTTCTTCAATGGTGTCAGCTGTTTGTTTATTATTTAAAAAAAACTATTCACAAGCAAGCAGTCCAACCAACATCCCATTTACTGTCCTAAATACATGCTGATTGCCAAATGACCAAATTCTGATCATGTGACCATGGGGGATACTATGATAAGTGTCTGGCCATAAATCACTTTTTCCAGCACCCGTTGTAACTTTCAATGGTTACTAAATGAATGGTTGTAGGTCAAGGATCACCTGTACACATTTAATATAATTCTGAAAACTCTAGAAGGGGGAAGTTAGTACTGAGACTGCGGTTCATAAGATATTGTTTTTGTTTTTTTAAAAAAATGCTTTCAATTTTGTCCTTTTTAAAAAATTCTGTAGCCCTCCAAAAGTTGCCCCCCCCCACACTGCATTTTGATGTGAGTGAAGGTGAGTGATCCACATTCACTGTTCTTTTCTTGCTGTTTTTTTTAAGGAGCACAGAGCAGCTGCAGGTAACACACTTGAAGAAATGCAAAATTCCGCAGAGCTGTGAGAAGAACGAAGAAGGATGTTCCTTCCCTGGAATGTGCAAATGTAAGTGGAATCAGCATGGGCTTTGCACTGCCCAGGGTTGGGGTGTGGCAGTGACCTAGAGGTTGTCTGCACTCAAGCTCCCTAGCTAAAAAGAGAGTCATCTCCCCGGCTGCACAATAGATTGAGAACACAAAGGCTCTGATTCATTTCCTTTCCATAGTATTTATCCCTACAGTAGTTTCTTGATATGACAAATATCTGCTTCCTTGGCTGCGCTATTAATTCATATTTTCAGTTGATTACATAAATTCAATTCCAGAATTTATAATAAGTAAAAAGTGTGGCATTTGCTTATATTTTATTTGATTTACATGGCTTTCAGGTGCTCCAATCATCTGATTCTGAGTGACAGAAAACTCCCCAAATCTGTAATTTGGGATGAAGCATAATTATTGTGAGTAATTGCTGACAAATAATACCGATGATTTTCAAGATTACGTTTATAAATACAGTTACAACTATAGGGTCTTTCTTTGTTTGTACCTAACCATTATGTAAACATGCTTTGGCAATATATTTTTTCTGCTATGTTCCCATTAAGTTACCTTCATCTCATTGCCATCCTAAGAGTAATAGAGATTTAAGTCAATAGCTTAAGGCAGCCAACCTTGGCAAGTTTAAGACTGACTTAATTCTTCAGCCAGCTTTGCTGTTGATCAGGAGCCAACCACCATCTGGATATGTGAAGGTCTACAGAAACATCTTAGCTGCTTTTTGGCTGGAAATTTTCCCTGCCTTCTAAAGGCCATGAGAAAGTCACTTTTGGGGATCTGCTGGAGAGAGAAAGCTTCTAGCATTACTAGTCAAGAAATCTTATAGCTGATCTCTTTTTCTAGCAACATTTTATAACTGTGTGTAGAAGTATTAGGCAAATACTGAAGGCTTATGAGTAGACGTCAGTACTCTGTAGATTTTCCTCCCCAACTCAGGCACAAAATGTATGTTAAGCAAACATTTGTATAGTGTAGAATAGAGTCTGTGAGGAAAATGAAGGCTGCCAGTTTCACAAATCTTCTTTCTGGTTTCACTCAGCCTTTCTATACTCCAGACCACGAAGGCCAAACTGACAACAACCTAATGGCAATAGATGTAAGGCAGGAAGTAGCAGCTGGATTTTTGTCTAGCTTAATTGTGTTTTTTGCTGTGCAATATGAATGACCCTTCCTGTTGTGGTCCCGGTTTAGGTTGTTGGTGGAGATACCAAAGCTCCCCTGAAGCCTTCAGGGCCTTAGTTATAAAAATTAAACAAATGCATCTCATCCACTCACCCCAAACCTCCCCCAGGAGCCTCCTTTCATCCACTCATACTAAATCTCCCCCAGGGTCTCCCCTTCAGACACCATTCAGAATTTGCCATTGAAATGTAATTTGAATGTGGCAGATGGGAATCTAATATATTAATAGATACTTCATTTTTTTAGGTTGTGGAATTGTTAGCTTGTGTCAGCTCCACCTGTGCTCTTGTTCTGAACCTATCTAATTTCATAAATGCTCAAAAGCTGTGGACATCCATGGACCAAGACAGGATATGGAGGATATAATTATACATCTCTATAAATTTATAGAATTTGCCAAAACCCAAATTCTTTATGAATTAGAGCAGGGGCGTCAAACTCAAGGCCCAGCAGCCGGATGCGGCCTGCAGGGTGCTTAGATCTGACCCACAGTGTCAGCGTTCCGGAAACCCCCCCCCAGCTTTGGACACGTGGAGCCACCCTGGAAACAGCGAAGGACCAGCCCGCAGTACCTCTGCCAATGAAAACAGAGCTTAGGAGTGCTGTGCGTGGCCCTCCTCAGCTCCATTTTCGCTGGCAGAGGGTTGCAGGAGGCTGTTGCAGCTGAAAAAGGAGCTCAGGAACCCATTTTCACTGGCAGAGCACTTGGGCCACCACTGGTTTCCCTGATATGAGTGACACTGAACTGGCCATGCCCCCTGGCCCTGACCACTGGCCCCCCAAGGTCAAACATAACCCTGATGCAGCCCTCAATGATATCAAGTTTGACACCCCTAAATTAGAGTGACCAACCCAGACAAAAAGATTCAAACAAATGGTTGGGAGGAGTTTTGCTTATGTTCATATCTTCCTTTTTAAAAGTTAGGAAAAAAATTCTGCAAATATATCTTTCACGTTAGATATACCAAAGGATCAGAGCTCAGTTGCCACTAATAATCCCTCCTTGCTGAATATAGAATTCATTGCCATGTCTATACTGAAAAAATAGACTCTAGTGAGGAACAATTCACCAGCTCTAGAGTTCAAGTGTGGAGTTTCATGATTACTGTTCCCAAAGACCATCAAGCATCATGAACACAGATCTACTTCCAAACTTCAGAAGCTGATGCTGTAAAACAGATGTTTGGTTGTAAATATATGAATATGAATTAATAAACAGCAAAATAGAAATCAAGCACTATTTTTTTTAGATACACCTATTATACATATCAATTTGTGCTGCTAATATCAGAACTTGACTGGAGGGTTTAATGTTATGCATCACAATTCAAGACAATAAATGAAGTAGAACAGGGGTCCCCAACCCCCGGGCTGCAGTCCACTACTAGGCCAAGGCCTGTTTGGAAACAAGCCATGCAGGCGGTGGCTGTTGTGGTCCGCCAGCAACCTGCAGAGCTGGCAATGGAGTCGGACAGTGAGGAGGCTGGGGAGGACAATGGGCCAGTCCTGGAATCAGGGGAAGGCCCGGACGAGGGCTCTGCGTCAGGGGTGGGTTCTAAAAATTTTTTACTACCGGTTCTGTGGGTGTGGCTTATTTTGTGGGCATGGCTTGGTGGGGGGTAATGTGACGGTGGGTGTGGCCAACTTTTTTTTTTTTTTTTACTTTTAAAAGCATTTTTTCTACAACCTTAAGAGGTTGCAGAAAAAAATGTTTTTAAAAGCCTCTGACGATCAGGCAACTCAGCTAGGATCGCCAGAGGCTTTTAAAGGCATTTTTTTCCTACAACCTCTTCGGCTGAAGAGGTTGTAGAAAAAATGCTTTTAAAAGCCTCTGACGATCCCAGCTGAGCCGCTCGATCATCAGAAGCTTTTTTTCTTTTTTACTTTTAAAAGCATTTTTTCGGCCGAAGAGGTTGTAGAAAAAATGCTTTTAAAAGTAAAAAAAAAAAAAAAAAAAAGCCTCTGATGAGGTGGGCAGGGTAAGCGAATGGCGACCAGGCCAGGGACTGGTTCGGGGGCATGGCCAGCCAATGTTATTACCAGTTCTCCGAACTACTACAAATTTTTACTACCGGTTCTTGAGAACCGGGAGCAACCCACCATTGCTCTGTGTTGGAGGCAGAGATGGGGCCAGGGTCATCTGGGAATGATGCATGGACTCCTGAGCCTCCAGAGGCAGATAGTAGAGAGGCAGAGGAACAGGAGGAACCTGTTCCTAGTGCATATATGCAAAAAGCTGCCAGAAGGCAAGAGCAGCTAAAGCAAAAAGGATGACTCGGGAGTAAAGCCAGGAGATGATTGGCCCCTCCCAGAAGGCTTAAAAGAGCAGCAACTGCTCTTGGGATCTCTGTAGGAAAGCAACATTGCTACATTTGTTTCTTGTCAGCATCTCTTGCTTCCGACCTTCCTGGGGTTTTGCCAAGAAAAGCCTTTGGCAGGGTGCCAAAGAAGACAAAGGTTGGTGATAAGGCCAAAGGACTGTTTATGAAGAATTTGTTTTGGAATTAATTTGGACTAAGCTGAGAATGAAGTAATTCTCAGCTGTTCTAATAAAATATGTTTCTTTAGGACTGATTGTGTCTGGTAATAACTACTTGGGCCTAGGTCACAACAGTGGCTGAGCATCTGCGCATGCATGAATCTCCCCTCACATGAGTGGTGGCTGCTTGCCCTCATGCATGAAGCTCCTCTCGTGTGAGCAGCAGCTGTATTGAACTCATATGCAGCTGTATTGAACTCATATGCAAAGCGACATGAGCGACAGGCGCATGCTCCCACCGCTCACACAAATGGAGCTGCACATGTTCACATGCACCTACCTACCATTCACAAGTATTTCTAATACTGCCTTAAGCATGAAATTAGATGACTTTGGGCCAGTCAGTGTTTCTCAGCCCTAAGAAGGAGGCAACGACAACCACTTCCAAAAAAAGCCTTGCCATGAAAACTGTAGGAACTAGTCTAGGCAGTCACCAGGAGTCAATACTGACTCAAAGCAGAAGTGGGTTTCAGCACCTCTGGTCAGGTTCTGACCAGTTCTGGAAAACTGGTAGCGGAAATTTTGAGTAGTTCAGAGAACCGATAAATACCACTTCTGACTGGCTCCGCCCACATCTATTCTCTGCCTCCCGAGTCCCAGTTTATCCGGAGGAAATGGGGATTTTGCAGTAACCTTCCACTGAAGTGGGGAGGGAATGGAGATTTTACAATATCCTTCCCCTGCCACACTCACCAAGCCATGCCACGTCCACCAAGGCATGCCCACAGAACCGGTAGTAAAAAACTTTTAAACCCACCACTGACTCAAAGGCTCAAAAAAAACACAAAAAAAAAAACAAAACAACCCCACATAGATTTAACAGATATGGACTACAAAAATTCTGTCAACCTCTAACTTTTTGCTGTTAGTTAGTTGCGATCTGGAAATTTGCAGTCTACACCTGGAAACTTATCATGATGCTGAAACAAATCTTTTGTCTGTTGATTGTATCCCTTTACAATTCTTTTTTCTGAAAGTGCTTGCTAAGCTGCTACCCTTTTGACCATGCTGCAGTTTGAATACAGAATTTGCTTTGGTGCATTTGCTTTCCAGAGATCACTTATTCAGCTCTAAATACAGTGGAAAATTCCACAGCTTGTTCTAAGAAAATGGCTGTCAGAGAAGAGGTCATTAGTTTCTCTGTGTGTAAGAGAGAAGGAGAGAGGGAAAGAGACAGGGAGAGAGAAAAGTTGGAGAAGAAAGAAAGCCAATTACATTTGCCTGGCAGGAAATGAATTCTGATAAATAAAAGCCAAAAGAGAATTAAACACTAAAGGGAAAAAAATCCAGAAAGTTGTTTTTGCTAGTACAAACTATTTTGAAAGTCTAGTCAATCCTGAACTCAAGGAGTATTACACAAGCCAATACAAGCCTAAAGCAATATTGAAATATAAGGTTAATTCTGTACTGTCTGACTTGCCAAACTTAGTCATACTTGGAGAAGAACTCGTGATTTCAATAGATTAGTTTTAAATACATTTGGCATCTAAATCTACATCTCTTTGGAAGGTTTTTCCTAGCTTCTCTCATTGGAGCATCACTGGAATAAGTGCATTGCCATTGATGGAATAGAATCTCTACCCTATTGATTCCAAGCTGCCAAATTTATATATATATATATATTTGAATTTACCTTGAAAAAAATAGTAGTCTGGGCTGATGGTTTTGATTTGGTCTTTTGTTTTTGTTTTTCACAGAATAGGATTTATGGTAAAGAAGTGTGACAAAAGTTTTAAACTGAATTAATAGCTCTGTATATTTTTTAAAAATCTTACATTTGTAACTATTATCATTGCATTCTATTCTTATTTATTGTTGAAATGCTTGGTACAGAATATTGAGTGTACCTAATCCAATCATCTTGAAATGATTGGACTACAGCTTTCATTATTGGATAGAGGACAAGTTATATGATCTAACAATACTATACCAATCATTAAAGTTGGTATGTAGTAATATCTGCCTGAATATCTCTGGTGATAAAAGAATTACGGTTGGTCTCGAATTTCCATCATGTTGAAGCACTATTTGCATTTAGGTTACCATAAGCAATTAATGAAGGCTTGTTCAGTTAGCCTATCAACATTGCACAATGAGACCAGCTGATAAAGCCCTACAGCACCTTATGTATATGTTTCACTTGTAATACCTGACCCAAGCATTTGTTACTATAGCAGACTGAACAGACTGCTTTTAAATATCAATAGCAGTTTACAGTTTACAGTTTAGTTTACAGAGTCAGCATATTGCCTCCAACAATCTGGGTCCTCATTTTACCCACCTCGGAAGGATGGAAGGCTGAGTCAACCTTCAGCCTGGTGAGATTTGAACTGCCAAATTGCATGCAGCCAGCATTCAGCAGAAGTAGCCTGCAGTACTACACTCTAACCACTGCGACAGTGTGGGCCTGTTATGCTTCCTGCAAGTGACAAAAAAATAGGTGGATTATGGCAGTAGAGCTATGGTGGTGCAGTGGTTAGAATGCAGTATTGCAGGCTAATTCTGCTGATTGCCGATTGCCAGCAGTTTGACAGTTCAATTCTCACCATACTCAAGGTTGACTCAGCCTTTCACCTTCCCAAGGTCGGTAAAATGAAGACCCAGATTGTTGGGGCCAATATGCTGACTCTGTAAAACGCTTAGAGTGGGCTGTAAAGCACTGTGAAGCGGTATACAAATCTAAGTGCTATTGCTGTTAACTCTGTCCCTTAAGATCCTCGCACTCAGCATGAATATACAGTATCTGTTTAGAAGTCTCTGATCTTTCAGTTGAGTCTGGAATCTTGCATAGCTGTTTAACTGCTTCTACCCAGGAGATCTTTTCATATGGAAAATGTATGAAGCTGCTAGATATGAACTAGTTACCTCCCGTATGGACTACTGTAATGCTCTCTACATGGGGCTCCCCTTGAAAAGCACCCGGAGGCTCCAACTGGTCCAGAACGTAGCCGCGCGGGTGATTATGGGCACAGCTCGTTACGCCCATGTAACACCTCTCCTACGCGAGCTGCACTGGCTCCCGGTGGTCTTCCGGGTGCGATTCAAGGTGTTATTTATCACCTTTAAAGCGCTCTATGGCTTAGGACCTGGGTACCTACGAGACGTCTTTTGCCACCAATAGCCTCCCACCAACCAGTTCGTTCTCACAGGGAGGGACTACTCAGGGTACCATCAGTCAAATTATGCCGACTGGCGACTCCCAGGGGGAGGGCCTTCTCTGTGAGGGCTCCAACCCTTTGGAATGAACTGCCCCCAGAGATACGGAATATCCCTGATCTCCGTGCTTTCTGCCGTGCCCTCAAGACCCTGATGTTCCAACAGGCGGGGCTAAACATATGAACATGTGAATGATTTTTTAAATGTGATCTAATTCTGGGTTTTATTTAATTGACCAAACTAAGTAATAATTTTAATTAGCAATTTTATGATGTTTGTGTGTCTATATTTTTCTTGACTGTACACCGCCTTGAGTCCTATGGGAGAAAGGCGGTATAGAAATATAATAAATAAATAAATAAATAAATAAATAAATAAATAAATAAATAAATAAATAACTGATCATTCTCCAGAACAGTTATCATCCAGATGGACTGGGAGATGAAAGTTTCAAACCAAATTCTTATTAGGAGTAAAAATGATATAATTTAATTAGTTTAGTTTTTTATTAAATGTACAAAATGCATGCAGAAGATTGTGCTACATATTTCATAACAATGGGCAACAAGCTCATGGATGCCTATAATAGATAATAAAAAATGTACAGTCTGATATGCTGTACTTCATTAGGATGATTGCAGAGAAGAAGGAATTGAGTAGTAACAAACTTTCTATGCTGAACACATACTGTGGAAATGACTAACAATATCTAATAGGTTCATCATAGATGTTCCCATGTGATATGAAATGACCCTGAAGAAACAGTTCTTTGGAAATACTGCTCCTACCCATAGCTATGGTCCCATGATTTAGTAGCACAAATTTATTTGTCCAAAGCTGGTGTTGAATAAGTGCATATTCATTTTAAAGGGCTTTGGATAGGGCTTAATTTTAAACAAGGTAGCACAAGAGCAGACATAGAGGGGAAAAAATTGATCTCTAGGAGAAAAAGATTCCATATTTGTGTCCAATGTCTATTAATCAGGGGTGCTATTCAACAAGTTCTGACAGGTTCTGGAGAACCGGTAGCGGAAATTTTGAGTAGTTCGGAGAATCGGCAGATGCCACCTCTGACTGACCCCAGAATGGGGTGGGAATGGAGATTTTGCAATATCCTTCCCCCAGGAGTGGGGTGGGAATGGAGATTTTGCAGTATCGTTCCCCTGGAGTGGGGGTGGGACTGGAGATTTTGCAGTATCCTTCCCCTGCCATGCCCACCAAGCCATACCACACCCACCAAGCCACGCCCACAGAACCGGTAGTAAAAAAAATTGAATTCCACCACTGCTATTAATCCATTGTTTATATAATTCTAAAGCAATTTGTTTCAGAATGTCAGACTATACATGAACAGTTAGGTTAAACATAATCAAGTGTACACTGATTTGGAAGTGAGTGGAACTTTAAGCACCTATAACTTTGTAGCTCGTATAATTTTCTCAATCGCTCAATCTTGAGCTAAGCATCCCCATTATTACATATTAAAGAGTCTGCCCTTTAGAAAACTATCACATGAAATCACTGTCAGTTTAAATATACTCAATCTTAAATCTAACAGCTTTCTGAATGGAGGAACTCAGTAACCCTATTACTCCAAATCAGATTTCCATTCAAAAATCATGTGCCAAAGTTTACACTTATATTATTATGGATATTGATATTTCACATCCTAGCTGATGTTTCAGTTCTAGCTGAGCCTAAAGTACAATACTAAAAAGTTGTAGCTGGATGGAGCTAATGAGGTTCTCAAAAAGGACAGATAAGTTTAAAGATCAAAAGGCAGTTTATGGAATTCTATATAGACATGTTAGAAACCAGGATTATTAGCAGTAGCAATAGCACTTAGACCAGTGGTGGATTCAACCAGTTTGTACCACTTTGGGAGAACCGGTTGTTAACTTTCTGAGCAGTTTGGCAAACTTCCAAAAGCGGTTTGGAAGAAATCATTAGGGCAGAGAACCGGTTGTTAAATTACTTATATCCCACCACTGACTTAGACTCCTATACTGCTTCATAGTGCTTTACAGCCCTCTCAAAGTGGTTAACAGAGTCAGCACATTACTTCCAACAATCTGGGTCCACATTTTATCGATCTTGGAAGGATGGAAGGCTGAGTCAATCTTGAGCCAGTCAGGATTGAACTGCTGGCAGCAGGGCTGGGTTCTACTTACCTTTACTACCAAGTTCGCAAAGGGAACGCACGCGCGCACGCTTCTGTACATGCGCAGATCGACAATTATGATGTCTGGATGGATGGGCGGAGCCTCCCGCCACTTTTACTACCTGTTTTATAGAACCGGACAGAACCAGGAGCAACCCACCACTGACTGGCAGTGAGCAGAGTCAGCCTGCAATACTGCATTCTAACCACTGAGCCACCACAGCTCTTTGTTGTCAAAAAGAAAACTATGGAATAGCGGTAGGACTAATCTTGGTATAAACTAGCTTTTGCAAATTCATATTTCTTTATCTTTTTATTATTTCATGACTTTAATTCTCATTGACTTGCTTTTTCTTACAAATTTTCTACACTTAGCATAACACTGATTAGCCCAAAATGGATTTGTATAATGGGAATATATTTGTGCTGTCAGATTCACTCAAAACCTGTGCCAAAGTTTTATAACACTTTGTTCCATAAAACCTGAATGTTGTTACTATTAAGGACTTTTCTCCCTTAATTTTCTATGTATGTATGTATGTATGTATGTATGTATGTATGTATGTATGTATGTAATTATGGTTGAACTACCATGGACATTGTGTATCTCACTCTGCCAGTGATGACTGGCATATTTGTGGATTATATTCTCTGTTGTATGTCTTTGGAAATGGGTGAGCTTTGGAATGGGAGGAATGATGGCTTCTCCAGAAGCATCCAAATGATAACTAATAGTATATCTCTAATAAATATCTAATAAATATCTCTCTTAGTTGGACTGAGTTTTCCACCTGCAATGATTACCCAGTTATGGTGAAAAATGTGGAGGGAGCAGAGGCATAAAACGCCTCCCCTCTGTAGAGAATACAAATTCTTTGGCAATATAATCTCTGCATATATGTTCAGAAGAAAATCCCCTTATAGTAATAGAGTTTATTCCCAAATAAGCGGAGTTTGAATGTAATTGTACTGATACCACTAGTTTTTAGTGCTAGCAGTCAAGGGATTCTACTTTTATTCCAACTTTTCTTCCTTAACAGATTTGCTCCAGAAAGGGAAATATTTAAAGAAGGAAAGGAGAAAGATGAGCTGATCAAAATGAAAGAATGCACTGACTGCCTGGGACCACTGTTAAGGATAATTGCACAGTAAAAGCCTGACTGGAAATAGTCTAAATCTTTAGGCTGACAGATTCTATAACAATATCAGCAAATTGAAAGGTTTCCCCAAATGCCTCCCCAGGGAATCGTAAATGGCATGTTCCCTTTACACATCCAGAAACACACATGGCATTATTCTAGTTAAGCTATTCTCTGTATCAAACACAGAGATGCTCATTTTCAGTTTGCTCGGTTCTGTAATAATTCAGTCTATTTAGAAAGTTTATTAGATATGGTGCTTTTAGCTCTTTTGCCTTTTTTTGCCAAGGAGCAACCAAGGAGCACCTAACTGATCTGAAGTTATTCTAACTGATCAGTCGTTTTTTTGTACTCCAAAACAGCTCCACTCAAAATTGCTAATCTGACCATAGGAGACTATTAGAACTTGGCACTGTAAAGATTTGAAAAAAAAATTAGTATAATCCAGTCACTTCTCTAAGAGTTTTTCTCTATCCCAAGGCAGAACTTGTCCAGATCCATAGCAGTTAGCTTATACAGTACTAACAGTTGTAAAGTTAAGAAATCTAGCCTGGTGTATATTTTAAGATGGACTGCAAAGCTGCAAATGTGCCACGGCTAAGCTATAAACAACATCAATTCAAGAGAAAGATCCACTGTAGGAGTTGGCTTGTCCTGCTTTGATCAAAGTTCTTTGTAAAACCAACAGTTTACAGAAAACACTCACCCACGACTCCACAGATGATCCAAAGAAAATGTCCTCCTCCTGTACGTTATTCCAGAAATGTCCAAAAGAAATTCCTGAAATTCTTGTAAAATTACTGGTGTGTTCAGAGCTCAGACACTTAGTATTTTCATTTACGAAATCCTTGTTGGGCTTTTCATTAAATACACTCTGCTTTCTTTTTTTCTTTTTTCTTTTTGCCTCCCCCTAGGTGATGTCATATCCTGATTGTGTCTAGAGAACTACAGCTGTCCTTGCTGCAACACATCAGTTCTTTCACCCTCCCCCAGCTACGCCTCTTACACTCTTGTGCAGAAACCCCAATGCTAGAAAGATCCTTGGGAAGTGCTCTCCCTCCCTCCCCGTTCTCTTTCTCACACACAAACATAACATTCTCAACACCCAGTCTCAGCTTTTGTTTCGTTTTTCTTGGCTTCAGATTAAAAGGAAGTTTAAGGCCACATTATGATGAAGATCAGCAAGGAAACTGAAATTCTGCTGCACCACACCACTTCCCACTCTTCATAACTCTGAGATAAAGAGATAGCTTTTCAGCTGCGAAGAGCCAGGAGGAAGTTTTCTCTACTTAGCAAACAAAAGAAGGTAATAAGAGAGCTCACACTCCCAACTTTTTTTTTTCTTTCAATGTTGGGAGAGAAAAGGTTTGGCTAAAGAGTGCAAGAACAGGTAGGAAATGCATGTAAGAGAAAAGGCAGAAAATACAATAATTGCCAAGTCTTTATTTTGCGGGCTAACAATCTTTGTGCGCTCCTTGCTCACTTGGCTGATCTCAAACACATAGACTACATACACATAGGCAAGGTGGGGCAGGGCAGATCAGCTGACAAAGACATTAGTGGATCATGGTTTGTTAAATAGCAGATCTCCCGTGCTGGAGTGATGGCTTTGGAAAGTATCCAGTGATGTCAACGTTGACATTGTTCCTGAGAACTTTTAAAAATGGAAAGTTCTGGGTGAATTTAAATTATTTTAATCCAGACAGCAGTCATAGAGCTATCTTCTAAAAAAAAAATAACCATCAATGAGTTTAATATGGATTCAGTGGGAATTGCTGTTAAAACTGCTTCCTAAAATTATCTTAATGTTTTTTCTGGTTCTACATACATGCATGTGTTGTTATTAAGAAACAACAGACATTGTCCCAAAGAGAAGTCAGATTTAGGGTATGTGTCAATATTATGTATGTCAGGGTTCCCCAACCTGATCTTTATTAGATAAATTGGGCAGCTCTTATCGTCCCTAAGTAGCATGCCATGCTGCCTATGGAAGACAAAAGTTTCCTACTAAATCTGAAGGATACTATGACGGGTCTAAAATCTGAATAATTTGGTAGCCATTTATCCAGATCCTAAGACAGAATAGTGATCAGGAAATACTATATGGTGAACATTCATGTAAAACCTGTTCTGTCACTAAGTTACAGCCTTCCCACTATGGGAAACGAAAAAATATATTACTCTAAAAATCATATCCTGGTTCAAAAAGGTTTAACATGTGATTACTACAACCTTAGATTTGCATCTGTGAAGGAAGATAATATTGGCCCTGGTCTATCCTACTTTGTATCTTCTTATAATATGTGTTACATGATGTGAGGTGGACATGCAGTGAATTTTTCGCCCTTCACCCAGCAAAATGCTGAAGGGAGAGCACCAATAGAGTAAATAGCATCATATAATAGCATCATATTCTAAAATATAAAAAGAGGGGTTTTTTTAAAAAAAAATGCTAATATTTTCCTTAGGGCCATAGGGCTGTTACTTCCTTCCTCTCACGTATGCCATGAAACATCTACCAAAGAAAAGCGTATTGCTTCATCTTCTGATTAATGGAAAATATGCTTGTTGTAAAACAGAAAAATTACACATTTTTAAAAACCTACCTTTAATATCTGGAATAAAGTCACTTTTACAATTCCTTCTTTGGGCAACTCCCCATTCCTAGTACAACTCTAACTCCTCAAAAACCCTCAGATTTTAGAGTTTTGGCTCTAATTCAGCATAACATCGACATCTTTAGCATTTTAGGAAATTCCCCAGAAATCTACCTATGTACATTAAAATATTATTCCAAGATGATGCAAGTAGTTCACAAGATCGAATCACATGGGTCAGTAAAACTTCTTTTTTTAAAACATCACCACCAAAAGAAAGGGCTACTTGGTACAAGAGCCGTGGTGGCGCAGTGGTTAGAATGCAGTATTACAGGCTAACTCTGCTCACATTGCCAGGAGTTCAATTCCTTCGATCCCAACTGACTCAAGGTTGACTCAGCCTTCCCTCCTTCCGAGATTGGTAAAATGAGGACCCAGATTGTTGGGGAGCAACAATGGTGATTGCGATTATTATGGTGATTCTTAGAGAGTGCTGTAAGGCACTGAAGTGGTATATAATAATAATAATAATAATTTTATTTCTATACCGCCCTTCTCCCGAAGGACTCAGGGCGGTGTACAGCCTATTTAAAAACACAGACAAAACAATGATATAAAATTTAAAATAAATAAGTGGCTCAAATTTAAAACCCCAATAAATTTAAATACCCCAATTTAAAACTATTGTGTTGATAGTCCGGCCTGGCGGAACAACAGGGTCTTCAATGCGCAGCGAAACACCCGGAGGTCGGAGATCTTACGTATTTCCGGGGGCAGTTCATTCCACAGGGCTGGGGCTCCCACAGAGAAGGCCCTCCCCCTGGGCGTCGCCAGCCGACATAACTTGGCTGATGGCACCCTGAGGAGACCCTCTCTGTGGGAACGAACTGGTCGGTGGGAGGCTATTGGTGGCAGAAGACGGTCTCGGAGATACCCGGGTCCTATGCCATGTATATCTATAAGCAATGTATATCTAAGTGCAATTGCTATTGCTACTTAGCATAACATTTGGTCAGAAGCACCAAGGTTGTTGAAAGGATTAGCCGGTGATGACATTGTTGCCTGGGGAATGCCCAGTTGGGGGCTCCTTTCATGTGAGGAACAAGTCCAGAACAATGGTTGACAATGCTCCCCACTCTCCCTGTACAAGATCATCAAGGTTTTCCCCCCAAAAAATGACTCCATTGACCCTATAGTCTTAACCCATTGTTTGAGAGCTCTTGTTTAATGTAATGCAACAGGTAGGAGCATGGTGGCTCGCATGGTTAGGATAGCAAGCCGCGTTCAAGACCCATGTGTTGCCGTGGGGCGGGGTTGAGCTCCCATCCTTCACTTCATGTGTGCAAGACACAATGGGAAGTTGCAGTACCACAAGGTTTGATAACTGTAGCACAGAGCTTAAATTTCAAGTATGAAAAGGAAATTGTATATTTATTTCTTGCTCATCAATAGCCCCAATAACACAATCTTATTCCAAGTGTAAGCAGGCAAAATATTTATTATTTAAGGGTCTACACTATTGCAGTGTTTGAGAACCTCTGCATCTGAATTCTGGGCTTGGCTTTCTAATATATTTGGGGGGGGGAGACAGAGAGAGAGAGGGAGGGAGGGTGAGAGGGAGGGAGGGAGGGAAGGAGGGAAATACAGATTAAATGTTTTTTTTATCCTGATATTACTTTCCTGAGTTTTAAAGTTGAAGGAAATAAGGGCGTAGTCTCTCATTATAAAAGAGTTTCTTCAGTGCTTTGTAGCACTGGTTTCCTCTGCTTCAAATAAATTTCAAGGGAAAGCAGATCAGGAAGGAGGATGACAAGGGAGGGAGCAGAGTGATGGAGAAAAATTGAATAGGCAGAAAAACAGCATCTAGAATCTCACAACAGCCAAAAAAAAAAAAAAATCCCAGTCAAAATCACCCTTTGCCAGGAAACTAACCCCACCCACAGAAATGAGAAAGCACCCTGAGGATGAAGCAGCGCCTTTTCTGCAGTAAAAATAAACATTTGGGCAATTGGAAAGAAGACTTTGCTTCATCGTTAGTCATAAAAGCATATTGATTTTGGCCAAGGGATCACAGAGGCAACCTAAAAGAGAAGACTTCCTCTCCTTGTGATTGACAAAACTGCACTAGACTGAAAAAGGCTCCCTTTCCTCTTTTTCAAAAAGAAAGCAATTCACCAAGTGCAAATTTCTCTTATCTACACAAGGCAAAACAAGATTAAAAAAAAAAACAACCCAAGCACACCACTAAAAACAAAACAACCAAAACAGAAGAGACTGTTTCCAGAGAACTCCCAAGATAAAATTCCCCTTTTGTTGCAAGAGGTAAAGACTGACAGCCTCCAACTGCTGAACTGCAGGCCAAACAATTTAGGAAAAAGGAGAATTAAAGTTTCATTTTAGGGTCTTTAGACAATGACTGGCTTCTTGCTTTTCTATTGTTTCTCCATTGACTTGTTCCTTCCATCCAAAAAGTCTGTTTTTGAGCGAGACATCCTTAATTGATATACATTAGTGCAGTTCACAAAGAATACTTACACTACCAAACATTAATTCCGAGTCCTATTAAAATTTGCCAATTCATATTCTCCAGCAGTTTTCCAAAACTTGATTTCTGCCCCAACTTAAGCTGACATGAGCTGTTATCCAGCAATCACATATTTCCTGCAGTGTAGGAATTTGGAATGCTAGTGGTGAGGCATATTTGTCAAAGGCCAGTTACTGATACATAGATTTCTGTTTATGGCTCCAGTCACTTGGTTGCCAAGATAGTTGTTGGATTAGTGTCATGGCCCCGTTGGAGCCTGAGGAGGAGGATGAGTTGGAGCTGGGGCCAACAGAGGAAGAGGGTGCGGTTTCATTAGCTCTGGAGGAACGACTGGAGGAGCAGGATGAGGCCTGGGATTGCCAGCAAGGAAGAATGGGCGCAGGACAACCAAGAGAGGGGGGGAAGAGAGGGCAGGCAGTGGAGAGAAAAGCAATGGAGCTCCGGCGATGAGCAAGGATTGCCCCCTCCTGATCCCCAAGCATGGAGAGTGGAGAGGAGGCAGGAGCAACACAGACCGACCTAACAACTTGGGAGGAGAGCACCCCGCCACTCTTCCCAGGGCTCACCTGGGGACTGAGGCTTAAGGAGATGCCATTGGGAGGGCCATTTGTTGGGAACAAACGCTGAATTTTTGGAACCCTGGGTGCTGTTGCCAACATCTAGATTTTGCTGTGCTTCACCTTGTGTGCCTTGCCAGGTCTGCCTGCATCACTGGACTTCTAGTCTTGTTTGCTGCCTTGCTAACTTCGTTTGCTGGACTACTCGCAGCCAGAGGCTGTTGGAGGTGCATGTGGGAGCTTTTGTTCCCAGACTTGCAGGAAACATGGGGACGTTTGGGGGAAAGTTGGAGCAATAAAGGGGAGTTAGAACTGTGCTTCCTCCATGCCTCGCCCTGGGTCATCACAATTAGCAACAAGCTGC